TGTGGACAGAATCTTGAAACCTGAAAATATTTAATTGAAACCAACTTCGTCATTCTTTTCTTGACTAGTGGAGGAATTTCGTCGAATTGTAAGGTTTGAAGAACTCAATGGTTTCTCCGATCACCGCAAAACCCCATTAAACCCAGAGGTAGCTTGCTGTATAAGTTAGGCACTACAAGAAACAAGGCATTTAACGTCGCTTGTTTTAATAGTTAACGTCGGTACAAAAGTGATGTTAAAATATTAACGTCACTTATTAAAACGACGTAACATCGTCCGACGCCAGCATTTTTAGCTTCACTTGCGTAAGTGACGCCAAGTTTAACGTCATAATTGTAACGTCGGTACATCGAGAATTCAAGTCTTTCTTGTATTCGTCATTAGTCCGATCCTTTTCTTTTGTTTTACTGTCGATTATATTTTTGCCTTTAAAACTCAATTTTTAAGTCAATTATACAACCGACCCCAAAAATGCAATACTTTTCTCTATTTAAATTTTTATTATTTATTAAACGTAATAGAAAACAAAAAAATTGTGATTCAACATAAGTTTTAAAAGCTGACCATATAATCATTTCATTCATAAAAATCAACATGCTTTTACAAAGAAAGTAACTGTGTTCAAATATAAACAAAATATCATGTATCATTCACAATATTGCCTATATTGCCGCATTACTCTCCAAAAGCTAAACCACTGGTTTTGAAGTTAGCCTGAAATCATAAAAAATTCACAAAATTATTTAATTTTTGAATAATAGAATATCACAGTACCTATCCAAAATGAAATAAATCACAACTTTTATGTRTAGACTAAATTTGTACCTGCTCATGGATATGAAAGATGGTTAATATCTYCACAAGTTTCATTCAKCTGTAAAARTAATATTGTGTTTCCTGTTATATACATTGTTGAACAAACTTGTAGACATGCTTCACTTTGGAATAGAATCATTCCTTGATGTTCTGTTTTCGAGATTATAATTCACTTTGGAATGGACTCATAAACAATGGAACTACTTAACAAAACACAAAACTAACCTTAAGCATTATGATTTCCTCTAGGATTATCTGATTTCATCCAAGATGCAATAATAAGTTCCCCTTGGACTCGATTCACTCCTCTATCGTCTAGCTGAAACATATATAAAGTTATTAAGTATATGATATATGAAAATAAAGAAGAAAAAACATTCATTAACTCTTGCCCACACAATTTGTTCGATATTTTCTTTCACTTTCTCTATTAGTGTAGCAGGATCCTGTTTTTAGTAGTAAAAGAAAGAGCAATGTGATCACTTACCATAGGTTTAGTTCTCAAGGTCTTCAAAGCAGTTGTCCGATTCTCTAAGAAACATGAGACATTTGGATTATCCTGATTTGCATCAATTGTTTCTTTCCAATGTTCTTTACATTCTCAAATTTAGAAGAAAATATATGATATTGGTATGATCCACTATGTTTTAAAAAACCAAATAAAACCTCATGATTAGTACCTTCTTCAGTAGACTCACTATACCTATGTTTAAACTATGACCCGAACACAAAATAAAAGAAGCGAGTAAGATAACCTACAAATACTAAAATGTCGCCTTTAATACATCTTCCACTAAATTACTAGTTCCCATGTATCCGATAAAACAAAAGTTAACTCCAAATAAACCCGATCAAAAATTCCATACATGTTGTTTTCAACATCAGCATTCCCAATCACAGATTCAAAAGCCTCCAGAAACCAAAACAAAATCTTATTCGGGAATTTATTTAAATAAATAACGAGATCGAGACATGAATTTGTTCAAAAATCACAAATAGATAGTTCGAGAAAGATTTTAATCCGATCAGAAATTATCTTAAGCTCAAATTCTGAAATCTAAGACTGACGTGAAAGGTTCTACCCAAAAATTCTAAGAATCCATCGTTTATCCTGAAACGAAATTCAGATCCGTTGTCAGGATCAATTTTTCAATCAGAAACAAAGCAAAATTCTCAAAAAATTCAACTATACAAACCTTATCGAACTCATAATTTGAGATTTAAGAAGAGAAGCATTTGAGACAGAATACAAACCACTAGATCAAATGGAGGTATGCTTACGACTTCGAATCGGCACGAAGAGACGAGATGGTGGACAAATCAACCGATTTCAATGGAATCCCCAGAAAGTGACAAGAGAATTAGATGAGTTCCCAGAATTTAGGGTTTGAGAAAAATGAACAAATTGGAATTCGTCGGAGACGATAACTCGCATTAATCTAAATATACCCATTTAAAAGTTATTTATTTGATTCCTAAACCAGTTTTGAAAATTAAGATTTTAAGTCGGTTTATTAACCGACGCCAATTCGCTTACGATCATAAAATTTAAAGTCGGTTAAACAACTGTCGTCAATTAACTGACGTCTTCGGGCATTATTTTTGTAGTGAGGGTTATTGTAACGCCTGTGCTCCGTGGTTTGGCTGACGCGGACAAGTGATCGAGTCGCAATGAGCAGTTTTGGCCGAGAGAATTGATTAAGGGAAGAAAAACTGAGCTAGGCAGTTTAATCCGAGCTGGGCGGATTTTTCGGACCGTGGTCTGATTTCAGACAGGACGGTTACCGCGGTTGGATTCAGACAGGATGGTTACTGCGGTCTGTTTTCGGACAAGGTAGTTACGGTAGACTGTGGATCAAGCTGGAAACGTGCTAAGGCCTTTTGGCGGGAACGGTTACTGAGCCAAAGACACGCTGGTTTAATGAAAATACGCTGGTTTAATGAAAACACGCTGGAACGGTTATTCTAGGCCTTAGACGTGAATTTTTGTGGGAACGGTTATCTGGCAGTTTCCAAGACAGTTTATCAAGGGAAACTTACCCATTTCCTTTTTATTGACTGATGTTATTGACTGTTTGATTGCGATTTCTATATTGTGGCTAAGTGG